GTTTAAAGAGTGAACTAAATCTTATTTTGGATGCAGAAAGAGAGGCTTCTATTGGAGTAAAGTTTGCTGGGCCCAATTTGCAAGGTATAGACTCCTGAAGGGAAGAAGGTGGTTACTTTTTCTTTTTTTTTTCTTTAATAAGACTATAAAAATGATACCTTTGACAATGCTTTTTTAGTCGATTATAGTTCTGTAACACAAATATTCAAATATAGTGGGCAGGGATGAATTATCATCACTGTGGTTTCTGCAAGGCTCTTAGAAAGAGAGAACATTCTGATCCACTACTCGTTCTTTCCTTTTTCAATTTAGAAACTCTTTTTTAATTTAAATAGCTCATTTGTTTTTCAAAAACTTCTGAAGAGTAACTTCACTCTGCAGTTCTACTTTCTATGGTTTTCCAATTCAATAAAACTGTATTTTTTTGCAGGAAAGCAGCGTAATTTTAAGAAAGTGAAATTCCTTAGGAAAACATTATCATAGAATTAAACTAAAAAGAAAATGCAGTTAAAACTTATTAATCTGACTGGAGCCCAGCTTCTACTTTCTATAATTAGCCCTTCTTGCTTTGCTCTCACTTAATACTTTACTGCTTCACATGGATTAATCTGAACTAGATATTTCCATCATATACAGCCTTGAACAGCTGGATGGAATCAATGAATTATTCTTCAAAGATTTTAAAGCTCCATTCAGACTTTGACAACGATTAACTTATAACTCCCCAAATAAGCAGAACTGATACCTTTTTAAGCTGACCAGTTTTCCATATGTTTTATCATCTCAAGTTAAATCAATATAAAGATTCTAAATATAAACTAGCAAGAGCATACTAATTTCCAATTTTGAAGCGAGCACCACACCTATGGCTTATTCTTTCATATTTAGGCCCACTGTATTTTAAAACATGTTGTTCTTAAGTTAATATTTGCTATTGCCATTTACTTCTGTTGGTATTATTTTCTGGTGGTACTTACTTCCAGTTTATATTAACAAATGTTTACAATTATTATTATAGAAATATTTATTTATTACATCACTTAGTGAGCAAAAGGTAACCTGGCAAAAACGTATCGAGAAATGAAGTGGCAGAAATATGAAGTGTTGTTCTACATTCATGAATACTTCAGAACCATCAACATTTTAATGAGCAAAACCCAGCCCATTATTCCTGTGGGTTTATGCTGCTTATTCTACAGAAACCAAATGTTTCTGTGAACAAATTCACAGGGCAAAAAAAATAAAATTAAGAAAGATAGTCTTTAAAATAATTGTTTCAACACACCTGCAATTCTAGGGCAGAAAATTACAGAAGAGACTTTTTTTTCCCAGACACGCTTTGCAACTCCATTTAGAAGAAATAAACAAGTTGAAGTAGGTAATTTCTTCTTAAAAGTTCATCAATTTTCCATAAGACCTTTTTCCTTTAGATACACTTTATGCATTTAGTTGAATAACACAGATTAGTTTACTACTTAACCTAATATTGTGAGTGACAATCAAAATGCTTTTATATAGCACTTGAAACTCAAATTGCTTGGAGTAAACAAATATTTAAATATTTCTTTCTTGAATATAAGCTGAAGCTATACATTTCTGTCTCCACAGAATAGCATTTCTTAAACATATCAGTGATATCTAAAAAGCTAACATCTGAATAAGTTTATTGCCGTTAAAACACACTAGCTATGGACACGGTGATTCAGCAGTCTCTCCACATGAACACCCACACTGCCATCTCTGAAAGAAAGAGGGCATTCATTTGCTTTTCAAAAGAAATTACTGCCATTAGAATATGAGCACATTAACTGTTTTTTGGCCCTGCCGAATTAAAGCAAACCAATCGGTGATTTAATTGAGGACCTTGCCTTTGGTGAGGGATATTGCCTACTCCACCGCGCGTTGGAGGAAAGCGTGAAGACCCAGTGACGGGTCACCTTGGAGCTCTCCGTGTACGCCCTTCAGGAGCTGCAGAGTGGTCTCACATCCCCCGCCTGTGCCCACGCACCCTCTTGCCCCCCGATTTGGCACGAAGTAGGCTTGCTCCGGGGGAATGGGGCAGCATCCCCCCAGATGTGTGCCCACAGAGCTCCAGCCCCTGAACCACCGCACGCGAGTCCGAAGTAACACTTTGAGCCGCGTGAACGATGGAGATGTTCAACCCAGAACACAGGTTCAACCGGGACTAAACCAGGACCACCAATAGGTAATGCGGACAAAAATTAGCTACTTGGATCTAACGATCTGCTCCTAAGGCGGTAAATGTCTTGGTGTCCTGAAGAATAAGAGTACGTAAGTGTCATTTAATCTATTTTCACTTCCGTAGCTGTAAGTTCTTTTTTACTTATGTAAGAAGGATCTCTTAAAATTTGACTTCAATCCCTAGTGGGAACAATACCTTGCAACAAGGATTTCCTTAGGCTAATTGCATGAATTGCTAATTAGTTGTAAGTCATTGCCTTTCACTTTTGTGAGGAACCTTGTTTCCTTGTGTCATGAAGAGAAAGTGGTATGTGAAATCATACGGGGTGAGCCCACGGTTTTGAATTCGATTTCCTCTCCAAGCCATCCCAGCGAACACAGCTATATGTTGGTATCTGATGTGATTCAAAGGCAGCTGGATGTGAAGCTGGCAAGACACCGCTTCTGTTACCTCCAAGTGGTTGCACAGTTTGCAGATGGGAAATGTACTCAGAAAATGGACTTGCAATAGCTTGGTCTTTAAATTTAAGAAGAGAAAATTTACTTTCTCTCTCTATAATATCTGTGTACATGTCCTCTCTTCCCAGTCTCTCCTAGTTCTCTCAGCATTTCTCAGGCAAGATTCTTTCTACACCTTTACCAAAATTTACTACTATTTTTTTATAGAGAGAACCTTCCTTTATCATTCACCTCAAAATTTACTGGATGCACAGTCTGTAAGAGGAGATTTAAATTCTTAATGCCTCTCTAGAACATCTTTTATCTAGTTTGTACTCGTGCATTCAAATATTGTTAACTCGTAAGGTATCTAACGTCCTCTCTTCTTTGACACTGGCATAAAAATACCATGCACTCTCTCAAGATTTGACATCAATAGGCTTTTCCCCTCTTTTTCAAATCTACCTGTTAGATTGCTCCTCCCCAGATTGTCTAATGGGCTGAAGCCACAACACATTTTTCAGTCTTCCAGGGAGAGGGGTTAGAGGGAACTGTGACTGCTTTCAATTCCAAGTCTATCATCAACATTTGCAGTTGCACATGTAAAATACTCCCTTTCATATTCAAAATATGATTTCAAATCCCATCTTTTAATTATTCAATCACAGATTTATTTCTTTCCTCGATTGCTTTTAGTTAGCTTTTGCCCCATGAAATCACATCTATCAACTGAAATGCAACATGGTTAGAAATTGTTCAAGTTAGGTGTGCTACATACAGTTGTTTTTAATCCTAGGCTTCAGTAAAATGTTTAATACTCTGTTCATGTTACCTTGCAAGCTTGAGCACTAAGTGTAGAAGCTAATTAAGCTCGCCACAATAATATATATGTCCACCTGGCACCACAATCAAGTTACTAGGGATTAAAGAAATAAGCCTATGTAAGTCTGAATGATGTAAGATAATATAACTTTTGAAACCGGTCTCAAATTTGCGCACTCACATATCTTAAACGAATCCTTCTCGGTTTCCTCAAAATTTTCTGTTGAAGACTATATTAATTGATGCTTCATCAGCTCTAAACACTGCCAGCTCCCTTTACAATCCTTTTTGCTAATTTGTTAAAGATATATACTGTATATAGCACATGTCAGAACTCTTGGCTCTTACAGCAGAAAACAAGCATGTATTGAAAACCAGGCTATATATAATGACTTCAAACTTACAGCACTTCAACTTTTGCCAAGATTATGCAATTAAGAACTTCATTACTTAAACTTGCAGAGATCAGCCTAGAAAGATGATGATGTCAGCCTCACTAAAATTGTTAATTCTTTGTGTCCCACAGGGGAAAAATGTCAGTGAAACTTAAAAATACAAGGAGACATTTTATTCCACATCACTGTGAAATAAAAGCATCAAAAGCTTATAGAATTCAACTTTCCGAGCATTTGATATGGGAGCACTGGAAAAAAAAAAAAAAAAAAAAAAAGAAAAAAAAAGTATAGCAAAATTTACCAGGAAGCTCACCTTTTAAAATAAAGAAATGCAGTATTTTCTTGCTTAAGCTCCGATAATAAGAACAGTAAGATATCAAAACCTACCTAAATGTGAAATACAGTGAATAAATTAAACCAATTCATTACTCGCTCTTCGGAAGAATATCTTTGTATCTAACTTTTAGAAACAAGTACTAACTTAATAGTCACTAAACTACAGCCACAACGTGAAATGCAATTTAATATCTAAAACCTGGGTGCAATTTTCAGACAAAGTTTACTCAAGCTTTTGACTTGCCATCCACCAAAGTACCAGCCTTTCAAACTCTTCCTGTGTTCTGATGCCCTGATAACTTTCATCTACTTTATTTATTATCGATAGCACCACAGATTCTGGGAACAGACCATTGTATCTGTGCTGAGAATTCAAAAGGAAAGAATTGCATTAATTTTCCTACCACTGGACTAGCTCCATGTTCCTATGAGGAATAAAGCTATATCGCTAACATAAACATATATGATTTCATAGAAGCCTAGCAACCAGCTCTTTCAAAAAAAAAAAAAAAAAAAAAACCACCAAACCACTAACCATTTTTCAAAATCATTCTTCTGACCATGGCTTACAAGTAACAGACAGGCCTGAGCCAGACAAACATGAGCCCTTGCAAAGTTCCTGGCTTCTCATATGCCAAGTTCAGCTTCCATAACATCATCACCTATTCACAAGTATTTCCACGCATTCACTCACGCGCACCCAGACTAGCTCATTATCACTGCATAGAAAAAGCACAAAACACAGCTCTATAATTCTATGTAGTCTATAGAAATATATTTATTAATAGAAATCCAAGCACTACTCACCACATGAAGAATTTTATTCTCTGTTTCATATACTGTGCAATCCTGAAAAAGTAAAGCAGAAAAGGCAGGTTTAATTGATGCAATCATTCACCTAGATTTATCCTTAAAAAGAATTAAACTGCATTGACAAGTCTTTAGAATGAAACAAAAGATTTCAGAGCCTCAAACAGAATGGAAAGGTTCATGTAACCAAAGTGAGAAGCCACCACAGAAAGGAAATACTGGTAAATGTTTCACCAGTTCTTGTTCCTTCCTTCCTTCCTTGAGACAGATAACGACCTTCCTCCACTTTACATCCTTTTGGCACACAGCAGCTAGCCACACGTATGCCAGGCAAGTGGCTCCAACCACCAGTCCCTGGCCATGGACGAAAATGACCCGCTTCTAGCAGTAACACTGAAAAACAGAGGTACCAGCAATAGCCTTAAGTAACTGAGAAAGAAGACTAAGCTGAGCTGAGCTGACTTGTTTGCACACCCTGCCGAAGAAGAGGAGGAAAACCCCGGGAGGAGGAAGAAGAGAAAAGGGAACCACTGGTTGTTTATAACACTCCATGTAATGGGAGGGAAGACAAACGTGGAATACAAGACACACAGGAGACTTGCGTTGGACCGTCTTATTGCATACAGCCTGCTGGGAACTGCAGGCACGTCGTTGTCACCTTACGTAGCACGTGAGGCAGTTTCTATAAGCAAGACTAACAGATGGGAGGCTGAGGGCTGTGAAAGTTTTTCTGGCAGGCCAAAATCTCAGTGGGTATGGAGAAATGGAATTAGTAAGGCAGAAAGCACAGGAAATACAACCAACATTGGTGAAAGAACCACTCTTTTCTAGGTTCATCAGATGCTGTGGCTTTATGGTAATTAGTGCAAGCTCTGTCTAGAACGGATGCTTTATATCCTACCTAATAACTCACATGAAAAATGTGACTAAGTTTTCATGTTTTAAGTCTCATTTTTAAATCAGTTTATCCTATTAGAAAAACAACTTTGTTATATGCAACTGTTTTAAAAAAATGAACTTTTAATCCATGAAACACTTCCAGTGTTACTCAGGCAAGAAAAACCAATGTGTTCTTAAGCTTTTTATAAAGCAACCTATGCAGAAGCAGCAGGTTGATCAGGGAGTGTTTTCCTAATAACAGCTGTTGGCATTCAGGAAACATTTGCCAGTAAGTGCAGCCGGAAAGAAAATCTAACACGTTTAATTATATGCAGACATCAATGAAGTATTTGCAATCTTAGTAGCAAAACACATATTTCATCATTATATGTGGGAGGGCATGTAACATTTTCAGTCTGGATACATCTATGTTCTGCATGGTTTCTTATGAATCATTTTGCAAAAATAGCAGGAAGGGATTGCAACATTTATATTGAAGAAAAAAGTGCTTTTAATCAGACATAATTATTTCACTGGTAATAGGAAGAGTTTACTATAAGTTTAAACATTCAGCTTAAAGAGGATATTGTTTGAGAAGTCTGACTACTAAGGGAAGAAGGATTCTGGGTTCTTAAATGCTGTAGACATTTATTACAACCAAGAAATCAGTGAATATCAGAGAAACATTGCTACATCCTTGAACTGAAACTCTTCCACACAATCATGAAGGAAGCTAAAGAAATATGCTTACGTCTGACAAACGAAGAGTATATATAAAAAAATAAAGTATTTCTGAATCTACAAAAGACAGTAAAGCAAGTGGAAAACTTCTCAGGCATCCGGTCTATGTATAGGGGCAGGTGGCCTTACCCTTAAATCCCCTCCTCAACACACAGTTCCCCACAAATCCAGGGTCTGGGAAGAGGAATTGCTAAATGAGTTCATCACATAACAGACAGCTGGTTGTTGGTGCTACATCTTCATATTCAGGCAAGAGAAAAATTAACAGATCAGTAAATCATAAAAGACAGAAAAACTGGAGGAGAGTGAACACAATGCTTATGTAAAAAAACAATTCCCAAATATACTTTATCCATACACGAATGACTCCAACTAAACACAATTCAAACATGAATTCAGGGAAATGTGCAGGAATGCAAAGATCCATGCCGGCATTGCCGAGAGCAGCCCTGAAGTCTAGGATTCAAAGAAATCTGGAAAAGGTCACCAAGCTGATCCCTGCATTGCAGCAAGCTCGTTTTAACTTCCTGCAGCCACCCCGAGAGATGAGGCCCGAGACTGCTTCTGAATGATCCCAAGAGCAAAACGTGTATGTCACTTTCTTTCAGAGTGAACAGTTTATTTCCCCTTAGACTTTTAAAGTCACTCCACTGCTTTGTGCTTTCTCTTTAAGCAAGTGCTGAGGATAACAGTGCCCATCCTCTTCAAACATCCCTTAGGTAGAATGATAAGCTGAATGCTCATTACTGGGGGCCTTTACCATTTACAATTATTGCTTTTTCATACCCATTTCATTTCAACTAAAAGAGCTTAAAGCACTTGAGAACTATAAAAAGAGTCGCTAACTATGCAATTAGAAATGAATTTGTATTCTTAATAGCATACCACCCACAGCTGGAGAATATCTCTTCCTTCCATACCTAGACTACAAGCCCCTATCTTACTCCTGAAAGATCTTCTTAAATATCTGTTTAACCACAGTATCAAAACATTGCAATTAAGGTAAGAAACAGATTTAACATGAACTTTTTTCTATTGTAGAAAAGCAGGAACACACAGAAAATCTGCAACCAAGCTTTACTCCTACACAAGCTAAAAATTTGCTATTCACTTAGTGAAACAATACTGTGATTACCCCTGAACTGAAATACATGGATAGAGCAAGGAGGCAATATTATACTTTTACCTGTTTATTCTCTGAACTTCACACATAGATTCACTGACAAACTATAACTAAAGCTAGCCTGCAAGATTGTCATCTAACCAACCAAACAAAACTTCAGCTGAAACAGCATAAGGTTATCTTCTAAATGTGCATTATTTTCTAAAAGATTAATAATGCAGATTGCTACTAAAGCAACAAAAGCAGTTCTGTGTTAATTTATACTCCCTGAAGATGTAGTCAAATATTGGCCATTAACAGTTTCAGAGAAAAAAAATGGGACAGCGTCATCAGCAAAGAAAGAGACATAGAAGGGGATTATGGTGGAACAACTTAATTACTAATAACAGATTTTCATGGTCACTCTTTCCAGCTCCGCCTGAGGCATCAAAAATGGCAAAAGTGACCTTTGTGGAGACAGCTGGAACTAGGCTAAGATCCTAAAAAAAGGGAAACATGAGGTCCAAAACTGGAAGACAAAGAACAACAACAACAAAAACGTAGTAAGGGAGGAAGATAAGAGCAGCAAGAAAAAACCACAACAATCAGGGAGAGGATTTTTCTGCACTTTCAATCCCAGTATAATTTTGAAACCTATTTTTAAGACTAGCAAGTCCTGTGCTACACTGCAACTGAGAGGCATCACTTATATTTCTTTCAGAACTTCTGACCTTCATAACCACAAATCTGCATTATTTCTGCAAAAATTACAAGTTTTAACTGCAAAGATCCTATCATGATGTCATAACTACTGAAGACATTTAAATTAAACCCACTGACTGGTGACAATGCTGCAAAATGTATACATCTCACCCCACCCTGCCCCAGACATTGCTAGAACAATTCACATGGGAGACAACCTATACAGAATACAAATATTTGTGGGTTTTATTTTCCAAAAGCAATGTTTTTGATGCTTTATTTTTCCATTTTTTTCTTCTCCCCTCACTATTATCGCCTTCTTTTTAAACATTTGTCTTAGTATGTCACAGAATGGGGTCACCTAATTACACCAGCACTTTCCTTATTCTTTAGTCCTTTTCTTTGCAGCCGAGTTGATTAAATCTCAACTCAAAATGTGAAGTACTGAGATCTAGAAGACCTGCCAACTTATCCTACTGCTCACATATCCCACAGGGAAAAAACGTTCATGCAGTTCTCCAGTACTATAACTATGGGATAATATTCAGCAGAAAACACTTCTATTTTTGCACATATACGATCTAGTTTACAAGTCCGAGTCAGCAACCTGTCAAATTACCTATTGCAATTACTTGTTAAACACTCCTCCTCTCAGGGTACTTGCAGGCTGTAATCTTGAAACGTACCATCATTACCACTACTACCATTATTATTCCTGGTTTTGCCACATATTCTAGGCAGCTTCTGCGCTGCGCTCTTCTTGGCAACCTGAAGTTCCAGTCAGCTCCGTGACTTAACTTCAGAATAAAGTTACGCTAGCTCAGAAAATACAATATATACATACAAATAGTTAAGGGATACAAAAAGGGAGAATTGCAGAAATATGTTTATTAGGTCTTTCAGCAACAAAGCAGCAACATTTCAGCATTTCCAGTAATCCTCAGATCAGAGTGCTCAAAAGAGAGCATGGAATTCTTTCACTGATTTTCTTGTTCAGCAGAACGCCTTAGTTACTCATGTATATTTAGTCAGCCTAATTTATTTTTTCCTCCAAGGCAAGGAAATTTCCTAGGCAAAACTGACACAGAGGCAGGTTACACCATTGTCAGGAACAAAAACCAGATCTCCTGATTCTCAGGTAACATGTCAGCCCAAAAATGTCCTTTGTGAATTCATACGACAGTAGCATTGCTCAAAAGCAGGCTGTGTGGTGCTACAGACTTGGAGCCCACTGGTGCAACTTGCAAAGAACAAGAGCTTGCCACGAGAGCGCTGGTTCTCCAGGCAGCTTCCAAGCTGCATCTGGTGCAGCTTCTTCACTGGTTTTTTCATTTGTTTTCCTCTGCAGTCCAACTGAATTTACATGAAGGCAATTTACATCTGTGTGTGTGTATATTGCACTGTTTTTACCAGTATTTTGCTGATAAAAATGTAGGAACACAGTTTTAAAAGTGGTAGTGAAATTGCCTGGAAAATGCATCTTTCATAAGCAATCCCACACGTCTTCCATGTCTAGTTTTAAGAGAGCAACAGCTAGATTTTATGTACTGCTTAAAAACAGATGTCTGATAGAATTGCTGTCACCATTATTTTGAAGTCACGCAAAATGTTCTAA